GTCTTCCATTTATGCAAAATGCTAAAAAAAATAAAAATCAATTGATGGTGCTGAAATGATTATGCAATGCACACCTGCAATGCAAAAATCAGCTCACTTTCCTGATGCAATACTGCTGCCGTGTGGTCAGAAGTCTAGGCTGTACTCTATATATTCATTTAAACAAATCATAGGTAAATATGCATGTCACACCTGTTTGACCTCTTGTTTTTCCACTCTTGGATTGGATGGAGGATCTAAGAAGCTTCCAAGGCCATGCGGTTGGGGACGTCGACAGGGAATGTCCGTTTTCCTGTAGAGGAAGCTACGAGGATTGGTTATTAAATCAGTGGATTGATTTATCCACATGGACCAGAGAATATCAAGGACAAGGAGTACCACTTGAAAATAAAAGAGGGAATGTACTGTCAATTTAAAAACTTAATTTAAAACTTAAATAAAAATAAAAAAAAGACTGACAAAAATATATATATTTAAAACTATGTTATTATTATTATTAGTAGTAGTAGTAGTATTAAATGTAACAGTAAAGTAACAGATTTAACGAATCCCTTTTCATTTGTTTTTATTCCTCTTTTGTAAGTCACTTTGGGTAAAAGTGTCTGCTAAATGCATAAATGTAAATGTTCAAACTGACAAATAATCAAATATTTAAAACTTTTTATACAATCCATGTTTTAAAATGTAGTTAAATGTAAAGCAACCTAATTAATTAATCAATCAATCTCTTATCAAACTGACAAATACACAGACAAGGGTTTATTTAATACTTAAAATGTTAGTTAAATGGAAGAACAAAATGTTGCTTTAAAGCAGCACTATGTAGCTTTTGGCGCTCTAGCGGTTAATAAACAGAACTGCACACATCCCGCGGAAGAACATTCCAACCGGAGCTACTTCTCTAAGTTTATGTCTATGGCGATTCACGCAGGTATGTGTTACTCCGCAGCGGTGACGACCCGACCAGGCTACAATAGTCCAAATATAAGTACTTATTATAAGTGTACCGTAGTGATTCGGAATAAGACAAAAACGCGGTTTGGAAGATGGATTCATGATGTACTCGCTCATTATATACGTTTTGTAGTGATTCGGAATAAGACAAAAACGCGGTTTGGAAGATGAATTCATGATGTACTCGCTCATTATATACATTTTACAAATTTTGAACACAGAAAAAGTTACATAGTGCTGCTTTAATAACGATTAATTTTATATATTAAGTTTAAATGCAACTATTTTTTGAAAAGCATCAGCCTATTCCTTTTCTTAAAACGTGTGTTAGTTGAATTAAAAACATTGGAAAGTTGGACAACTAATAGCAACCATTGTTTATTGATTGTTACATTTGCCTACATTTTTAAACATTAATTATATGAACAGTTTACGTAATTCTATTTATTGGTCAATCTTTAAACTTTTTTTTGTTATTGATTTATTTTATTTATATTTATATGATTTTTCTCATCACAATAGCATTGAATGTTCCACTAAAATTTGACAACTAATAGTATCTAAATACTTTTTGTCATTTTTTTTTCAACAGTGTGAGCTATCAATCTTATTGTAAATATTATAAGGTTTGATACTCTGTAGGCCACAGTACATGTCTTACCTCGTGTGACAGGAGAGACCTGGTCTAAAGCAGTAAGCAGCCCAGTTGAAATACATTGCCATGTTTTATGAATGCCTTTATGAATGCCATTTTATGAATAAGAATATCACAATTAAGAACATTTTAAGAATACTAGCAATGAATGAATGAATGAGTAAATAAATAAATAAGCATTTCATGAAACCTGGTGTTCATATTGAATAAACGAATTAATAAATGAAATCAACTAGCCAATTAATCAATCCAAATCACATTTGTTAATGCTGCAATACATGTTGCAATTCATTTTAATTAATTCTATTTTTCGGGATATTTCAGAAACACTACTAAAACGGATGTTCATATTAAATTAACAAACTGACGAATTAATATTTTTTATAACTCAATCCAAATCACATTTATTGATGCTGCAGAATTTTATGAATACTATTCATAATATATATTTATAACAATATCATATTTTCTTTATATCATCACATACAAATATCATATTTTAAGAATACAATCAGTCAGTCACTCAACCAACCAATCAATCAATAAATGAAACATTTTAACAGAAATAAATAAATACATAAATCATTTTTTATGCACCTGATCCAATTCACATTACTGATGCTGCAATACACGATCAGATTTTTATGAGTACATTTGTTTTTTTATTACAATATATGACAATAACAATATATAAGGTATGCCATCAATGCATACTGTATTTAAAATCTGAGGGGTTAGATGGGAAGTTGGCAATCTAAACCTCAAACAAAAATCTGCAATATGGTCAATAAGACTTCACTCACCCTTAAAGGCTTCAGCTGCAGAAAGCTGGAGGTTCCTGACGCCTCAGAATCCAGCAGACGAAGAAACTCCGTTTTTTGGCTCACAGGGTGAAATGATCCACTCTTCAGACTCAGTCAGATTCCTGGGCTTGATGCTAACAGCATCCTCCACTGTTTTACAGTAAGTAAACTTCTCTGAAAAAAAGTGTGATCAGTGTCATCCCACACACTTAGCGTAAGCACATGTAGTAAACAATCCTAAAGGACAACTGTGTTGCTTAAAGGTTGTTCTTTACTGTAGCTGAGTTACTATATATGTTTTTTTCAGTATTAAGCATCAGCATATTTTGTCTCAGATAGAAGAGGAAGAATAAAATAACTAAAGACAAATAACTGGTACCACTTTACAATAAGGTCACATTAGTTAACATTAGTTAATGCATTAACTATCATTGAGCAACACAGTATTTATTAATCTATGTTAAAGTTCATCAACTGTTCATTATTAGTTAATGTTTACTCACTTCCATTAAGTAATGTTAGCAGATACAGCTTTGGATTTTAATCATGTATTATTTAGACTTTGAGACATGAAGTAAAAATAAATAAGTAAAACAATTCATATTAAAATGTCTGACTTTCTTTTCTCACGGGAAAAAAATCTCAGATTCTGGAAATCAAAAAAAAAAAATAAATAAATAAATTTAGCGCTCAATTTAACCTCACTGCCATCAAAGGGGAAACGATTCAGATGTTATCTCTTCTGTGATTAACCTGTCCTGTGGGACGAGACTTCCTCTTTAACTAGATTCTAAATTACAAGGAAAAACTCAACTGATTAGAAAACTACCAGTCATAAATGTTATTGACTCACCATGATTGGGTGATAAAAAGTTATGACTCTCCGCCGGGATCTCGGGAATTGAGCACACTGACGGATTGTCCTCATTACTGTAGCAGTTAGGGTGAAGGTTAAGTGTGCTCAAGAGCCTAAAACAGCAAAATAACACATCGACATCAGTGTGGAATCACTTTACAGTAACATTTGCAAACCCTTCAGCCTGACTATACCGTACTATAAAACATACAAAACAGAATGTTCAAACCATAACCAACTGACAAAATCATCCCAAAATGACCTGAATGACAATTCTAGTAATATGAAATCATCCCAACATAACAGAACGGCAAAATTAATGTCTATCATGATTTCATGACCATTTTAACTGTAATGTAAAACGACCTAGTGTTTACATTCATGTGCCACATGTTTCTAGCCAGTGATGAGCATTTCATTAAAGTTAATGTTCATATTTGTTTATAAACCCATCTGTCCAGGTTCTATAAAACGCTGATTTTCAGAGAGTTTGATGTGAGATGAATAGTGGCTCACCTCCTCTCTGCATGTGTAGCTTCTACTGCGTCACCCTCAGCGGAGTCTGAGATGATTCCAGATACCACACTAGGTAAGATCTTTGTGAGATATGAACTCACAATTGTGAGAAAAAAAGAATGCAAAAGACCTTTTTTCACCATTGCGAGATATAAATTGAGAGAAAAAAATCATAATTGTGAGATGTAAAAATTTAGAGGAAAAAAATTGCTTGTAAAAAAGTATTGCAAATTGCAAGGTTAACTCAGAATTGTAAGAAAAAAAAAGAAATGCGTGATGTAAAGAATTGTGAGACAAAGTTGTAATTGTGAGATGTAAACTCAGAACTGCAAGAAAAAAAGTCAAGATCACATTATGTAAACTCAGAATTGTGAGGAAAAAGTCATAATTGTAAGATGTAAACTCAGAATTGCAAGAAAAAGTTATGATTGTGTGATGTACACTCAGAATTTAGAGGGAAAAAAATCTGAATTGCGTGATGTAAACTCAGAATTAAGAGAAAAATTAAGAACTGCATAATGTAAACTCAGAATTGTGAGAAAGAGGTATAAAAATTGCGAGATGTAAACTCGGAATTTAGAAAAAAAATAAGAATTGCCTAATGTAAACTCAGAATTGCGAGAAAAAAATGAGAATTGCGAGATGTAAACTCAGAATTTAGAGAAAAATAAGAATTCTGCAAACTCAGAATTGCGATAAAAAGTAATGACATAAGGCCTGGGATGAGAGTTGTGCTCTATTCACACCGTTCTCCATGTACTTTAGCAGCAGCAGCACCACTCTAAAAAGCTGAAAATAAACAACAGTAAATCCAATCATCTTTTACAAACAGCATACTACTGTTCAAAAGTTGTATTATTATTTTTAAGAAATGAATATTTTTATTCAGCAAGGATGCATTAAACTGATAAAAAGTGACAGTAAAGGCATGCATAGTAATATAAGATTTCTATTTCATTTTTATAATTGTATATAACAATTGGAATTTAAATTATAAACTATATAAATATTTATGAATTTTAATAATACTTTATAAATTATTTTTATAATAATAATAATAATAATAAATGCTTCTTGAGCAGCAAATCAGTATATTATAATGAAGGATTCTGATTCTGAAGGATCATGTGACACTGAAGACTGGAGTAATAGCTGCTGAAGATTCAGCTTTGCCATGTCAAATGAAACATTACAAAAATAGTTTTAAAAATTGACTGCACACCTTTGAATGATACTGTATCTCTACTTCTAAACCAGGATGAATTAATGGATGAATGGATGGATCCTAAAAGGTGAGTCTGTTTCTTACCTTCTTTTTTTTTGGTAGTGGACATATCTCAGAAGGATCTAAACAAAATCTCCTGGAGTCAGCAGCCATGCAGACAGTGGATGGGGAGTTTGTCCTTCATGTCCATCACCCACACAATCAAATCACATGGTTTATCCTCCTGAGCACCAGAAATAAAAAGCTTTGTGAATTTAGTATTTTTCATGTCATTACATTGTTTAGAGCATAAGAAAAAAATGGTAAATCAATTTTTAGGTTTCAGGATTTTTTTATAACTAACTTTGTTTAAGGATGGTTCTCAACTATGTTATAAAATACATAACAAAATGATTTGATATACCATTTTGCTTTATGCAATATGTGTGTAAAAATCCCATAAACTGATTTTCCCATTAAGCACAATGTTATCTATATACTGTATCTAATTTGCATATTAAAGTGCTGTTGGGACAGCATGTTGAAAAAAAGAAGTGTAATAATGGGAGTAGTAATTGGCCAGATTTTCATAATAATATCTAATATTTCATAAGAATATTGATATATAATTTGTTTTCCTATTCAATTCTTTTGTCTCCCAAAATGTATAATAAACATGCTTTTAGTCCTGGTGTCCTCTACAGTGGACATGTATGAAATGATGTCCTGTTTCATAACAGGCAGTCATATTTTGATTTGAAACCTCATAACATTTTCCTGAGATGTTGATTTATCACGAACAATTTGAAAATTAATCAGATTTAAATTATAATTACAAAAATATTATCATATTTCCATAAGGATGTACAATTTTATCACTAAATTAATGTCAGCCATTTTTAAAAACCAAGGAGAGGGAGTGGTCACGGTGAAACATCCAATCATTTAGTATCTCTGGAAAGCCCTGAATGTGCTCAAAACCGTGACACGTGAGGTCTCAGGGAAATTCAATAAATATAATGTCCACTACAGAGGCAAAAACTCCATAGCTGGGTCTCAGGAGGATTATATAGAACGTGAGGACTATATCATTTCAGCTAACATGTATGTTTGAGATGAATGCAGCTGTACAGTAGTTTACCTGCTTCAGTTCTTACTGGCTGTTGAGCTGCTGTTTCTTGCATTAGCATTTGTGCCTCATTGGACTCCATATTTTTGCTTTCTATCAGCTGGAGATGAGCCATACCCTGCCACAAAAAAAAAAAAAAGGATGACAAAGAACAAATTTGTTTATACCATCATTTCACCAGTTATGCCAGGGAGAAAATCATTACAGCACCTCGCATAGAGAGGCCAACATATTTCTACAAATCCCACGATTCTCACAGACAAGAATGAAGTGTTTGAACACGTGAACATCTTCAGTTTGGAGTCCTCTAATCAGAGCCCAGGCCTCAGATATACATCTGAAACATAACAAACCATAATTATAACTGTATACTCCAATGTGGGCCAGTTACAAAAACACCAAACGAACTTAAGAGTCCTAAGAATGATTGTGATTTACTTGTTGTGTATTAACACATCCACACGGAGATTGATGTCATGTATGTTCTCCATTGCTAGTGTGATGCTGTACAGATACTTCAGTGCTGCTCGATTCTCTCCTGTCTTCAATAACGTCTTCAGAACAGCACAGTGGTGCCATGACAGTGTTGGAGGACAAGCTCTTGGGCTCAATAAGACATTCATTGAGTCCTGGGAATAAAAAATGTTCAGAGCTCAGTTGGTTTCGACCAATGAAATAAGATGCCATATAATTTGTGTGATGATATTGAAAACATCTCACTGTTACTAATCCATGATCTAGAAGCCAGAATCCACAAATCTGTTGAGAAAATGCAGATGGGATACTGAAGACATGGCAGAATGACTGCAGGAGATCATCCTTACAGTGCAGGAAGTTAGACACATCCAGGACAAAGTATATTATCTGGAGAGGATTTGTTAGAGTTATCCTCCAACCACAAGAGAGCAACCAAAGCTAAGAATGTAAATTATTTGTAAATGATGTATATCATTATAGGACATATATTATATTATATAATATACATACATGTACATACACGCACACACACACACACACACACACATTACCGTTCAAATTCAAATGTTTGGTGTCATTATGATTTTTCATGCTTTTGAAAGAAGTCTCAGTAAAACAGTATTATTGTTAAATATTAATACAGTTTAAGATAACTGTTTATCCATAAAAGAAGAATTAATTAGATTTTTTTTTCTTTTTGGTAACATTATTATGGAAAAGGATTATATGGAAGCCCGTTTCCGCCACTGAATAAAAAAAATAAATAAAGGTTATTGCCACTTTTTATCTCACAATTCTGACTTTTTTTCTCAGAATTGCGTAATATAAACTCACAATTGCGAGTTATAAAGCCAGAATTGCGTGATATAAACTCACAATTGCGAGTTATAAAGCCAGAATTGCGTGATATAAACTCACAATTGCGAGTTATAAAGCCAGAATTGCGTGATATAAACTCACAATTGCGAGTTATAAAGCCAGAATTGCGAGATATAAAGTCACAATTGCGAGATAAAAACTCGCAATTCTGACTTTTTTTTCTCGCAATTGCGAGTTTATGTCTCACAATTATGACATTTGAACGCAATTCTGAGAGAAAAAAAGTCTCAATAACCTTTTTTTTTTATTCAGTGGCGGAAATGGGCCACTGGGCCACAGTCATTCTAATAATAGTATGAGGACCAAGCAATGATAAAAAAAATAAAAATAAAAAAAAAACATCTCGAGATTAAAGTCATTATAATGCGAGATTAAACTCGTTAAATTTCGAGAAAAAAAAATCTCTCAATATACAACTTCGAGAATAAAATAATTACATTTCGAGAATAACGTTGTTGTGTTTCAAGAAAAAAACTTTAGAATAAACATTAAATGTAAAATGTTTAGAATAAACATTATATTACAAGAAAAAAAGTTGTGTTTCGAGAAAAAAACATTCAATTTTGAGTAAAAAAAAATCTAAACAAAATGTTGAGGAAAAACGAATATTTTGACAATAAACAGTGTGTTTCGAGAAAAAAAACCTCATTACTCATTACTCATCATCTGAGAATAAACATCTGAGAAATAAACTAAATATTAGCTGTGTCTCATTTAGAAGGCTGCGCCCTCCGGAGGTCGAATCCTCTGTAGGATGCATATACGAAGTGTCCTCAACCTAGAATTAAAGGACACGGCCTTCGTAGGACAGGCAGAAAAGGAAACAGGAAGTATCACGTTGCTATGCCAACACATTTAGAGCATCGTTGCGCTCTCACACTACTTAAATGAAGGAAAATTATTTCTAAATTTGGAAAGTAATTTGAAAAAAAAAAAAAAAAAGCTTTTACTTGTTTTATTTTGTTCAATGTTTGAGGAGCTGCAGCGTACGTACAGCAGACATCTGTTAGAGAAAAAAAAGGAGGAGGATATTAAAAACAAAGTTTATCCGTTTTTACCAATGCGATTTAAGGTAAGTTGTAAACACCACATCTGCGCTTGTGTGTACATCTGCTGGCGCCGGCATTTTTCAAATTAACAACTATTTACGGCGACGCAAAGAATTGTGGGTTATCTGTAGCAGCGAAGGATACACCTCATGCATCCTCCGAATTCCTGTGAAAGAAGGTCGCATTCAAAGGTCGCATTCGGAGTGTCCTACTTGCTTTTCTGAAATGAGACAGCCTTGATGACGTATGCAGCCTTGAAATGTGACCTCCGGAGGGCGCAGCCTTCTAAATCAGACACAGCTATTAAAATAGAAATAAGCAGGATACAATGGCTTGGACAGACAGGATGTCAATATTAGGCAGCAGCACTAGCTTTAGCAAATCTTGGTGGTGGGAATGTCTGATAGGCACAATCTTCTGAAACCCATATAGGTCCATGGTGTTTGTCCATATGAGCTACCACACCCTGAATAGAGGGAGCTCCACCGGTACTTTTCCTCAGCATAATCACTGATGAGAGAATATTGGTTATTAATATTTCAAATGATTATTAAATATTAATAAAAATACATATTACTGTCAGCTAGAGTGGAAAATGTGGTGGTTACCTCAACTCCAGACATGTTCTCCTGTGTTTCTGGTCCACCTCACACCACATCTGAGATATCCTCTTCATCTCATGGGCTTCTGAAAAAAATCAATATGAGGACATAATTAATTACAGTGTACTTTGTATTTGATTTTAGCATTCACAAGTGAAATTATCAATTGTTTTCTTCTTTTTCCATTTAAATAAATCATAAGACAACATCAACTCACCGGGGTATTTGGGCAGAAGTCCTGTGATGCTTCACCACTGCACCAGGCAGCCCAGCAGGATGTGTCTTGTTTCCAACAACCCCATATATATGAAGCCCTGCTTCCTAGTGTGCACACCACATGGGACACCCATGAACAGAGATTGAAAAACATACAAACAATTTATTAGAGCACTTCATATTCCACATTTTTTTTTCAACACGCTGTTCCTTAATGTTAAGGAACGGTTGCAATCACTACAAATATTTCTTCACATTTGTTTGTGGTCCAGTGGACCAAACCACAAGTGCAATCAATCAATCTGTAGTACACAGACTTACAGTTACTATAGGTCCATTTATATTTGGACACTGACACAATTTGTATAATTTCGGCTCTGTGTGCCACCAGAACAGAATTAAAAATAAAACAAACAAGATGAAATTGAAGTGCAGACTTTAAGCTTTAATTCAAGGGGTTGAACAAAAATATAACATAAAATCCTTACGAATTACAACCATTTTATGCACAGTCCCCCCATTTTCAGGGGCTCAAATGTAATTGGACAAATAAATATAATCATAAATAAAATGAACTCATGGACATCACCAGAGCCTGGGTATCCTCCTTTGTGATGCTTTTCCAGGCCTTTACTGCAGCTGAATTCAGTTGTTGTTTGTTTGAGGGTCTTTTTGTCTTTAGTTTTGTCTTCAGCAAGTGAAATGCAGCTCAATCGGGTTGTGCTTCTGTCCTCTGTCACATCATCACTAAACACCAGTAACTCAGTGCCACTGAAAGCCATGCATGCTCATGCCATTACACTGCTCCACCATGTTTGACAGATGATGTATGTTTTGGATCATGAGCTGTTCCAACCTTTCTCCATACTTTTTTCTTCCCGTCATTCTGATACAGGTTGATATTAATTTCAGCCATCCAAAAGAATGCTTTTCCAGAAGTGGTCTGGCTTTTTTTTAGATGTTTTTAGCAAAGTCTAATATGGCCTTGTTTGCACCTTGTGGTGAACCCTCTTTATTTGCTCTTGTGAAGTCTTCTCTTGATTGTAGACTTTGACAGAGACACATCTACTGTACCTCCTGGAGAGTGTTCTTCTCTTGGCTGGATGTTGTGAAAGGGTTTTTCTTTACCATGAAGAGGATCCTCCGATCATCCACCACTGTTGTCCTCCGTGGACGTCCAGGCCATTTTATGTTGCTGAGCTCACCAGTGCATTATTTTTTTCACAGAATGTATCAAACGGTTGATTTGACCACTCCTAATGTTCCTGCTATCTCTCTGATGGATTTGTTTTGTTTTTGAAGCCTAACAATTGTCTGTTTCACTTGTATGGAGAGATCCTTTGACCACATGATGTGGGTTCACAGCAACAGCTTCCAAATGCAAATTCACACTTAGAATCAACTCCAGACCTTTTACCTGCTTAATTGATGTAGAAATAACGAAAGAATAGCCCATGAAACTGCTTTTGAGTCAATTGTCTAATTACTTACGGTCCCTTGAAAAAGGGGGAGGTACATATTAAAGAGCTGTAAGTCCTTAACCTTTCCTCCAATTTTGATGAGAATTAAAGCTCAGAGTGTGCACTTTAAGCCCATATTCATTATGTAACTGTAACTTGAAAATGTTTTGGTCAGCAGCTAAAATAATAAAACTCGTGTCCAAATATATATGGACCTAACTGCATTATTACACATTAGGTTTATCATTACATATACTAAATTGAATTAACAGTACAGTTGTTTTCAAAAAATACCAAACCATTTTCCATAAAATGTCTCCACTCTTGTGTTTATTTGTCCATCATTTATTTGTAAAATTAGTATTATATATTCTGTGTATTATTATGCAGACATTCTAAAACTGACTAATTTTATAGGCAGTCTGAATTAAAATCACTGTTAAAAAGCTAATATAGTATATTTAGTAAATGTATGAAAAAAATGAGGGGGGGGTGGGTGATATTTCAATGTTTTTACACTCAAAATTTTTGCCTTCCCCTGAGAAACTTTGTGATGGAAATAATATGTGGAAATAAGATGTGGCAGGAAAAGCTACTGTATATTTAGGGAATGCAAAGTTTCTCTGGTGAACGCAATAGTTTTACAAGTAAACGCAAAGTTTTCCAGGGAAACAATGCTTTTGCAAGAGAATGTAAATGTTTTGCGTTTTTAGGAGAACACTATGTATTATACATATAAAATATACATTTTCCATAAATGTATGGAATTATTAACCCCCCCCCCATTTCATATCTTCCATCACTATGTCCCTGTAGGGGCTCCTTAGAAAAGAGACTGCAAATATGACAATAGTCTGCAAACTGACCATGTTTAGAATGCAGACCGTCACTGTGTTTTGGTGGACCAGAGAAAGCGGGTTCTTCAGCTTGAGGAGCAGCTTATGGACCAGAGCAACAGTGTTTTCATCCAAACACATCCACAAGCCTTTATATCGACTGAAACCTACAATCATATAAGAGCCAGGTGAGCTTTATCTGAATACCCCAAACAAAAACGGTAAACCTCAATGTTTAATAAGATTTCACCTACTCACAGAACATTAACAGCTCCTTCTTGGCCAGTTCTGCTGATCTCTGAAGCCAGCAGTTAAAACTGGCCACACGTTCACTCGCATCCCCTTCACCTATAGAGAAACAGCACATCAATCAATTTATGTGTCACATCATTGTAACCTATATTGGAGTGAGATATGCTCAGGTATAATACAAGGCATTGAAGTCTTACCTTCATTATAGAGGCCTCGTATGCAGCCAATAAGGCCTTTGATATTGTTGTCTGTTAAAGCTTTATTCCACAAGACTTCTGTGTTTAGCATCATCCTTATATTCCATAAAGAACCTTTCAAGAAACCTTAAAGACATCAACTACCACAGAAATCTTAGCCTTACAAATAAGGCCTTGGTTGAAACATATTCAACTGAGAAAATAAAAACAATAATTTGTGGTGTTTTAACTTGTGAATATGTATTTAAATGTAAAATGAAATGTTAAATAGTCTTCTTGTAACAGTCATTCATCTGTACAGTAAGTTGTCCATGCTTTGGTCAATACTCATAAACATTGTGGTAATCATTACTCACCAGACAAAGCCCCTTTCATCCAGTAGTGGTCCTATATGGGCGCCCTGCATTCAGATCTGCTGACTAGTTTGTATGCGCTTTCCCCTGACTCAATCCCCTTTAGGCCTGAATAATCCTTTGGATTTCACTGGCTGTCAGTGCATGTGGTATTACATGAAATCTGCATATTAAAACAGGAGTCATTCATATAAAGAATGCCCATGGTATACAAGACAGCAAACAGCCTTAGAGTCAGGAGACTGTTTACTTATAAATGGGAATTTTAATTGATAAAAAATATAGTTTAATCCCAAAAAGACTTACCTGTACTTTTTTTTGTTTGTTTTGTTTTGTTTTGTCTTGCCTTTGTTTTGTTTTGTTTTATTTTGCTTTGCTTTGTTCTGCTTTGCCTTTGCTTTTGTTTTGTTTTGCTTTGTTCTGTTTTGACATTGTTTTTTTTGTTTTGTTTTGTTTGTTTGATTATTGGGTTTTATTTGTTTATTTTACATACTTGTTAAATGTTTCGTTTTTATTATTATTATTTATTCATTTGTTTGATTTATTTCCCAATATTTTTATTTAATTTTAGAAGACAAAATAGGAGTCTTGTGCAAACTGTGTGAGGCATTAGATTGTGTTTGATGTAGGTCACATGGTTTTGTCACACATACATATTACCTCTGTTTTGGTAGAAGGGGCAAATTTAATCCCAATGTTATTTATTGATTGACTGACTGATTGATTTATTGATTGATTGATTTAAAATGAGGTCTCTTATTTTAAAAGAAATTACTAAGTAAAGTATATTATGTAACTAAGCTACGAAGTAAAATATGTAATATTTGTATTTAAATAGGATATGTAAAATATCAATTACATTACATTTACATTTAGACATTTAGCAGACGCTTTTATCCAAAGCGACTTACAAATGAGGACAATGGAAGCAATGAAGAGAGTGCAAGTCTAAATGGGGCAAGTTTTTTTTTTTTTTTTAAGAATAGATTTAGAATAGAGAGTGCTAGAGTTAGAGGGTCAAATAAAGATGGAAGAGATGTGTTTTAGCCAATTCTTGAAGATGGTTAAGGACTCAGCTGCTCGGATTGATTTGGGCAGGTCATTCCACCAGGAGGGAACAGTTAATGAAAAAGTCAGTGAAAGTAATTTTGTGCCTCTTTGAGATGGCACAATAATGTGACCTTCACTTGCAGAATGCAAGGTTCTAGAGGGCACATAACTGAAGTAATGAATTTAGGTAAAGGGGTGCAGAGCCAGTGGTGGTTTTGTAGGCAAACATTAATGCCTTGATTTTTATGAGAGAAGCTATTTGTAGCCAGTGCAAATTGATGAACAGAGCTCTGACGTGCGTTCTTTTTGGCTCGTTAAAAATTAATCTAAATGTGTAATTTAACACAATAATGATACAACAATTAAACTATGTGACTCTTAGTAGCTCTTTCCCCTTCTTCATTCTCTAACTAACACACACACACACACACACACACACACACACACACACACACACACACACACACACACACACACACACACACACACACACACACACACACACACTAACACACACACACACACACACACACACACACACACACACACACACACACACATCCCAGTCAGTGAGATTTGTGCTGGTGGCAGAAGGTACTCTTCCAAATCCAACCGGGCTGCTTACTGATTAGAAGGAATTATGAAAGAGGTCACAGCTGAGTCTGCGGCAGACACTAACACACATACACATATAAGTTTTCATCAGCAAACAATGCATTCAGATTGTTTCACAAAAACTGAAGGCATCTGATGGAGAGAAAGAGAAAAATCACTTGGAATAGGGCGGGATGCTATTGAGTGATGGAAAGGCATGGATGGGTGAGTAATAAGCTGTTTATTACTACCCTTATGCTGGGATCATCTCAATCACCATGCCTGGTTAAGGACAAGCCCTGTGCCTGTCTGTTCAGGTGAATTTATTTCGTTTCGTCAGCTATTTTGAGCTTTCCACACTCAGAACAGGAGTATTATTAGCTTTTTTGAAACATTAAATGGCTAAAAATATTTGCATGATAAAAAAGGTAAAACGCTAACAATGTAGCATACTGAAAGATAAAATGAACTGGATTCATTTCTTTTAATATGACTGAGTATGTATCCTTCTATTTTTATCAGACTCATATTTATGCAGTCATGTTCTTCTCAATAGCCACCCATTGTCCAAATATATACTGTATATAAAAGTACTTTTTCCTCTCTTTTTGCCTTAAGCTCCATGAATATTTTGTGGAGATAGTGTTTCAAGGTCTTTCCATTGATTGACACTCACTAAGTTAGCTTAAGAAGCTAATTGCTAAGAAGCATTAGTCCATTCATGTCATCTTCCGTAGGAACCTTGAACACCTCACTGAGTTACATCTAAAACTAATTTAGTTGATTTGTGTACTAGGAACTCCAGTAGACTTCCACAAGATCAATTAAATCAAAGGTTCTCTGAAATATTGGTAAGATGGCTGTGCTGCCAATAAAATTGACCAAAACCAATAGAGACAAACTGGCCCAGGTTTTGTGGGTACTAAACTGGATATCCGTTGTAACAGGTATCATCCTCTTTAGCTTGGGCATCTTTCTAAAAGTTGAAATTAACAAGCGGCAGGATCTAATGGCTGAGAGTCAGCTCCAATCCGTGCCAAACATGCTAATTGCCGTGGGACTTATAGCCTGCGTGATTAACTTTTTGGGAGGAAAGATCTGCTATGACTGTGTGGACACCAACAAATTCCTACGCTGGAAGTTGGTGATGCTCCCATACATCATTTGCACGTTTTTCTTCACTCTGAGCGTGCTCGCGGGCGCCTTGATGTGCTACAGCATGCACGGACAGCTGGAGGAAGCACTAACATTTGGGCTGCGGGATGCTATGCGTTACTATAAGGACACAGACACACCAGGCCGCTGCTTCTTGAAGCATACAGTGGACCAGCTGCAGATCCAGTTCCAATGCTGTGGGAACGAGGGCTACAGAGATTGGTTCCAGATCCAGTGGGTCAGCAACCGATATTTGGATATGTCCCAACGGGAAGTGCTAGAGTAAGTTGGGTCTGGAAAAATAGTTATTTAAATAGTTAATATTATTTAAATTGTTAATAGCTATTAAAATATTAAGAGGAGTCCTAATATATATACAGTTATAACATGACCAATAGTTGCATTAATAATAATGGAATTCACAAAATTTTACAAATGCAATTTTTTCTTACTAGTCGTCTGCGAAGCAACGTTGAGGGAAAATACCTAATGGACGGAGTTCCCTTCAGCTGCTGCAATGTCAACTCTCCTCGGCCATGCATTCAGTACCAAATCACCAATAACTCCGCCCACTTTAATTACGACTACCAGACAGAGGAGCTCAACCTGTGGATGAGAGGATGTCGTCAGGCTCTGCTAGATTATTACACCAACATCATGCATTCTGTTGGCCTCACGGTTCTGATCATCTGGCTCTTTGAGGTTGGTTGTGTCTATTGCTTTGGCAATAGGGAAGTATTGAATATGTATTCAATGCTATTTAGTACTCTCATATTCGGTCGTCATATTAGTAATTCCATTTCTTTACCTAGCAATACATTTTTTTAACGGGTACTCTATTCATTGCCATTTTAGAGAACCTATAAATTCGATGAATGCTATATGATGTCTTAAACACGCAAATATGACCATGGATTTCTTAAATTAAATGATATATTATGTATAATGGTAAATTAGTTCCTTAACTGCTCAGCATATTAGCATACTTCGTGCCTGGAATATGCAAATATGAAATACATTTACATTTAGTCATTTAACAGACGCTTTTATCCAAAGCGACTTACAAATGAGGTATACATTTTTTTTTATATTTTAATATATACCCATAAAAAGATCAATACAGCAGGCAGTAATGCTAACACACTGCAACAGAATGAGTGTACCGATACAATTAAGGTGCAATATGTCTGCAAAGCTTTGTGGGCATCAAGCATTGCTCCCAAATAAGTTATTTTAAAAACCAAGCAGCTTTCTGTTGAAATCTGTGTGCAAAATCTTTCACCCACTTGATGTCCTGTTTAGGTAGATTCCAACTGAAATGACTAGAAATTTAATTGAACAATGACTGTGCCTTTACAAAAATCTGGATTGTTCATGACATCAGTCCTTAATTCATCAAATTTGATTGGCTTAGCTGTGTTCCACAAATGCTGACAGTTGAAAAGCACTGGTAGGTGGATAGAAGTGGCCCTCTTTATGAGTAAGCCATTGAATTATTCACTCAAATGATTTGAAGGTGCAGGGTTCTTTCTAATTGGCTTCGTTTGGAACTATATTCATTGGTGGAACAAAATCAGACTATTCCTAAAATTTAAGCTACTTCTTTTTTTATACAGTAATTGCATTCATGCCATGTCGGAATGCTTCCAAACTGCAAAAAGCATTTACGTCCTAATAAGGCCAATTCACACTGCACTGACTGACGCAGACAGACAGCAACAGACACACATTTTGCTAATTAATGTGTTACCCCTGTCAGCATCTCTTGGCATTGGTCGTTGCTTTTTTCGCCAATTAAAAATGTTGAATTAATGTTTGTCGGGTCTTGGAGCATCTGAGTCACATACTATATTCGGTCAGCTGTTGCCGTTGGTCTGTGTCTGTTGGTGTGGTGTGAATTGACCAATAGAACTCGTAAACTCAGTTCCAACCTGTGTAAAGATTTAAAATGGCTTCAGCGATAAATTGTAGTTAAGCAGTTACTTTGGAATATTTAAGTTGAATAATTCCTATAATTGGCTACTGTTAATGTCTTAATAATAATCGCTGAAAATAGACTAAAGACATAAAATGTATATTAATTACGGAAATTACACAAATTAATTTTGCTGTTAATAGCCTTGCCATTGAAACACAGTTCAAGAACATCAACAGATCCAAGTAGAATGATTATAGAATGGTCGGTTTGTTTAAATATAGAGTTCTGGCATGAAACTCTAGATGGTGCAGTCCGATAGGTCTAACTAAATCTGACCTAATGACATCATTATCACATGGCACAGTTGATTGGTTCTCTCCTGTATCGGTAGCCAATGAGCTCGCTGCTCAACATTCAAATATATGACTAGTGCTTGCTGTAGCTGTAGCAGTTGCAGCTTGCTTCAGAAACCCTCCACCTTCCCCAGCTCCACCTGTATAGATCTGCTACGAGGTAATTCATGTATGCTATATGGGGGTTATTTCATGTATGTTATATTTGCAGCAGCAATATTCTTACATGCTCACAGCAGCATGTTGTGGATGTATTGGCAGTAGCAAGTCTCGGTACTTGCTCTGCTGCAGGAGCAGCAGCGTAGCAGATCTATTCCGGCAAGACCAAATACATTAACATTGTCATGTACATTACAATCCCTCCGAGAGTTGTCATGACAGAAATATGTATCAGAACCATTTACAATTGCTTGACAATGCTCAAAGACTTGCTACAATTTGCATTTTTTGTTCTTTTGCTGGCAGAGAAAAAAATATACTGACCCAATTTTGTCTGAAACATTGTTTTAACAATTGTACTATGAAACTCTACACTAATAAAAAGCAAGGGGCAACTCACTATCTTTATAAAAATGTGCTCTGGTTGCGTGACCTAATCCGATTGTACATTCACTTTATAATCTGCTCTATGCACCAGTCACTCCAATCCCTCAGCGTCCTAAGTAAAGCACATGACTGCTTTACAAAGGATGACGTGAAGCTTCAGTAAGAATTGTCTGGACCAAATTTGTTAGCTATCGGTGAAAACTAGCTCATGAATAAGGCATAATTTTCTTCTCTGACAGCTCTCTGTGTTAACGGGGGTCCGTTACCTCCAAACATCTCTGGAAAACGTGCTGCGGCAGGGGGACCCTGAGTGTGAGTCAGACGGGTGGCTCCTGGAGAATAGCTTTGTGGAGACGGCTCGCTCTAATTTCAACATCATCAAACACCTGGGCAAGTTCAATCAGATCAACATATCAAGCAATGGAGATCCAAACATTGACAAACCACCTACAGCACACTATGGTCCAGACAATGTGCCTCCAAAGCCTCTTCCAATGGCCAGTTAGGTCTTCAGAATGCACATTTTGGCCAGAAACATTACATAAGCCACAGAGGACTGGACTACTGGACCAAGTAGCCTACTGTTTTAACACACAAGGCAAAGCATCATGGGGCCTTCAGAGTTTTAAAATGTATAAATTGCCTCTCATTAAGAATACAACCGTTAAATTCTTTTGTGTTTTAGAGATTCTTGTGTGAATTATGTGATTACTGAAGAGTAGGTCTGCTACCTATCACTGGATTTATATAGAGCTTCACTGTGTACTGTAGGTTTTTCATTAGCAATTAAAACAACTGTATGTGATTTTTTTTTTAGTTCCAAAATCATCCTGATGTAGGCTGCACTGACTTCTAATAAGGCGAATAGCTTCTGTTTCTTTCCTATATCCTCCAAAACGTCTCTTCTGACAGTTTTTAAGTTAAAAGGGATTTGCTTTAAGGGGGAAAAAAATAAAAAATGCACGTGTCTGCAGGTTTTCACTGTAGTTACGACAGTGATAGCCTATATTTACGACATCGAACTGTAGAGGGGTCCAAAATCGCAAAAATACACAAAACTACATACGGTAGTACATGCTCTCTCTCTCTTTCAATATGTCTATTTCCATGAAATCAAACTCTCCGCTTACCCATTACAAGCCACCAAAAATTCTTATTTTATGCCTTGGTCTCGTGCCTAAAGCCAGGTATTGTAATCACTGGTGAAAACATGATACCAACAGCCTCTAAAACACATTTTCCAAAGATGTATATTTCATAATCATTTTTTTTTTTTTTTACAAAGCACACCCATGTCTAAAATATATCATGGATATGTAATGACAATAAATGCAACATGTAAATGTAATCAATACATTATTAAAGAGTTTTAAGTGTTGGTTTCAAGGGTACTAAAGTTCATTGAATCACTTGCATTATTGAATTATATGCTCTCTCCTTTACTGTGAAAAACAACTGTTCCAAAGGGAGGTTTTCACAGTGATTTTGCGTTCCTCAAATAACATTTCAGTGAAAAGTTCTTGAAAGAACCGATTATTTCTTAGTGTGAAGAACATTTGAATAATCTAAAGAACATTTAAAGGACAATAAAGGACCATTGAAAGGTTCCTTGGATGTCGAAGGTTCTTTATGGAACCATATGCCAATAAATAAACTTTATTTATTTATTATTATAAGTAAAGCCAGATGAAAACCTATCCTAAAGGAACAAGCTGATTTAAATTTCACACAATTGTTATGGTAACACTGTATTTGAAGCATGTATGTATACAGAATGCAATGTAAAGGTACATCAGTGCCTTATTATACACGTGCATTATATGTAATGTATTATATTTATCAGTTGTAATACCTATTCATGGTTACAGCTTTAAAAAGTATAATGCATTATAGAAATGGGTGCTGATCAAGTGTTATATTGCATTATACAAAAGTTTACTAGTTAAAGTGGGTTTTTTAAAAACAAAAAACAACACAAGATATCATAAAAACAATTATATGAATACATTTGTGAATATTCAGCAGTCATTACGCCGGTCTTCATTGTCACACGACCCACCTGAAATCATTCTAATATGCTGATCTGCATATTATCAATGTTGCACTGATGTCTATGAATTACACGGAAATCTCAAAACATACACACAAGAGAAGCATTTCTTGTTTGTGTTTTTAATATCTAACAGAAACACCCATCAATCATAGTTAGGAAATAATTTAAATAATTTGAACCTGAATAAATAATCAAGTACAGATAATTGATGAATACAGAGATTTAACAGGATGACAGAATGTGAGGTGAAAGAGATCCATCCAAATAGTGATGTCACTCAGTAGTTTATTTCAGATAAACATCAAATATTCATTTTTGGGTGAACTATCCCTTTAAGTGCAAATTAAAAGCTCTTACATCTTGAACCAGATCATGAGTGGGAAAAAAAAAAAAAAAATCTGGACTTTGACTGACGCTCAGGTAAAGCACTTGTGTTTGATTTAGTATATATCGACAAGTGGAATATACTTGAATTTACATTGTTGCATGTGATTATGTGAATGATATTTTGTTTCTTAATTTAAATCACAGCTGCGTTCTTATAGTAAAATAGCATCATCTAATTATACATTGTTGTTTATTTACATGTTCATGTGACATCCATAGCATGAGTGAATCTCATGAAACCTGTCAAGAATATGCTTGGGTCATATTTCACCCCAAAATCAAAAGAAATACGAAAATTAGCTTGAATTAAATGATGCCTATTATTAGAAATATTAACATCATTTGCATCAAGATTATTTCCCCCCAAATTCATTACTGTAACAAATCTCATTGTCACTGTAAGAAAAAAATAATATTAATTTTATTTTTTTATGTTATGTTTGTTGTCTTTTTGGCTTTCATGCTGATTTAATTTTAGAAAGTATATAGCAATTTGACTGTAATAATAATAATGAGAATTTTAAAAGAAAACATAAAACGTTAAAGCAGCACTATGTAACTTTTGGCGCTCTAGCGGTTAATAAACAGAACTGCACACATCCCGCGGAAGAACATTCCAACCGGAGCTACTTCTCCAAGTTTATGTCTATGGCGATTCACGCAGATATGTGTTACTCCGCAGCGGTGACGACCCGACCAGGCTACAATAGTCCAAATATAAGTACTTATTATAAGTGTACCGTAGTGACTCGGAATAAGACAAAAACGCGGTTTGGAAGATGAATTCATGATGCTCATTATATACATTTAGCAAATTCTGAACACAGAAAAAGTTACACAGTGCTGCTTTAATGAAAAACTGTATTTTTATGAAAAATATGACTTATTATTTAGGCGTAGCATGTGAAGCAGCATAATTTGAAAAACAGCTTTTTACTCAGAAACACTGAATATACTTTATGTTGAGGGCAGCTTTACATAATAAAGTAGTACATAGATTATATTCACATGAATACATTTCTTACACAGATGAAAAAAAAAGAGCAAAAAGGCTGTAGCAGGGTGAGAGGCCTAGCATTTCACATAGGTTAATGTGGTTTGTAGAGACACAAGCCCTGCAATAAATCTTTACACCCTGAAAACAAATGCAAAAACACCACAATGAGCAAAAAGAAAAAGCTGCAGTGCTAAAACGATTGTAGATCTGCAACCCAAGCTAGATAAATAAAGAGCCCAGAGAACACATTCACTTCTTTAATATCTTCTATGGGTCTGTTTAGTGTGACTACCCATAATGCACTGGGCTGCTGGAAAACACGGACAGCAGTAGGTAGAGAAGTGAGGGAGTTTATTACTCCTTGCAGTCGGCGTGTCTTGCTACTCGCATTGTGCACTTCCTCTGGCAGTCTCGGAGCTCAAAGCATCTGCCACTCAAAGGGGAACATGACGTTGAGGAGCTCCAGACTGCGGGCGATTTCCTCCAGGACGCAGTGCTGCTGCCACATATGAAACAACTTGCGGTAGCGCTCTGGACACAAGTGCAGCGGGTTCCCACGCCTAGCAAAGCACAAACAAATACAGCTATAAAGAATAAACTGACAAAGCACACGCTTGATGATGATACAGTGTTTACATCAGAATTACATTTTCAGCATTTTGATTATATTTAATATCTTTATGTTTTGGATGTGAATTATGATTCCCTCACCCACCCAATCAGAGGAACGGTAATTTTGACAAACCAGCCATTGTTGCAAGTAGATTAAAACTGAATTAGTGCGGGGCAACGATTAATCGCATCCAAAATAAACGTTTTTGTTTACATAATATGTGACCCTGGACCACAAAACCAGTCATAAGGGTCAATTTCTCGAAACTGAGATGTATACATCATCTGAAAGTATATAAATAAGCTTAAATAAGAATAAATAAGCTTTCCATTGATGTATGGTTTGTTAGGATTGGACAATATTTGGCTGAGATGCAACTATTTGAAAATCTGGAATCTGAGGGTGCAAAAAAATCTAAATATTGAGAAAATCGCCTTTAAAGTTGTCCAAATGAAGTTCTTAGCAATGCATATTACTACTCAAAAATTAAGTTTTGATATATTTACGGTAGGAAATGTATAAAATATCTTCATGGAACATGATCTTTATATCATAACCATAAAAGAAAAATCTATAATTTTGACCCATACAATTTTTTTTGGCTATTGCTAAAAATATACCCAAGCGACTTAAGACTGGTTTTGTGGTCCAGGGTCACATATATGTCTGTGTACTGTGTACATTTATTATGTATATATAAATACACACACACACACACACACACGTATATATTTAAGAAAAATATGTTATGTTTATATATTAAATATATTTATATATAATATAAATTATATGAATATAACTATATACATGTAAATATGTTCATAATATATACTGTATGTGTGTGTCTTTATATATATACAAAATAAACATACACAGCACACACACATATATTATATAAAATAAAACTTTATTTTGGATCTGATTAATTGTTGCCCAGCACTAAATTTAATACAAGAAATTTCAAGAAAATTCAGTAATAAAAGTAAATTCAGTATAAAATCTATCATTGTTTCACACAGTGTTATTATAGTTACGTAAAACTAAACACAAAAACTGCTAAAAATGACTAAAACACACAACAAAATGAATAAAACTTTAACTAAAATTAATATGAAAATTGAAAATATAAAAATAATAAATTCAGAATATGAACAAAAATTACAGTATCTCAATGACACTAAAATAACACTGGTTACCCACAGACTTCTCACTAAATCAAGACATTATTTTTTTTTAATCAACTAATAATACCATTTAAAAAGACTTTTCTTTTCCTTTTTTTATGGAAATGAATACTTAATCAGCAAGGCCCATTAAACTGATCAAAAGTGACAGTAAAAACCTTTATAATGAACATTCTATTCATCAAAGAATCCTGAAAAAAGTGTGACAGTTTCTACAAAAATAATAAGCAGCACAACTGTTTCCAATGTTGATAATAATAAGAAATGTTGCTTGAATACCAAATCAGCATATCAGAATGATTTCTGAAGGATCATGTG